GCGCGCGCCAGCGACATGGCCGCGGGCTCCGGAGCGCCGGCGCGGCCCCCGCGCGTTAAATGCGCCCCTAATTACAGGGGGGCGCTGCTAATTGCCAGCCTGAAATAGCAAAGCCAATGCGGGCGGGGAGGCCGCCGGCAGCGGGGACATTCCAGCCCAGCTCCTTGTGGTTTTACTGGGCTCTCTCATAAGCGGAGGTATTTTGGGAGCCGACGGAGGCGGGAGCTCCYGCCGGTGAGCCGGAGCGGAGAACACAGGGGGTGTCGGCAAAGCCCTTTTATTGCTCGTGGACACGGCGCCCGCGCTCGCTCGGTGCCCGCGAGCCCGTCGCCGCTCCGCGCCCCGCTCAGGCTCCGGGATCCGCGGGCTCCAGCCGCAGCCGGCGCATGGTGCTGAGGAAGAAGGCGGGCGGCGGGCAGCGCAGCTGCAGCGGCTCGGCGCCGGGGCGCCGCGGCAGCGCCAGGCACCGCGCGTGCAGGTGCAGCGGCACGTGGCGCGCCTGCGCTTGCCGCAGCCGCAGCCGCGTCAGGGCGGCCTCGGGCAGCTTCTGCGGCGCCAGCTTGCGCCAGTGCGAGTACTTGTGGTCGCCGAGCACGGGGCAGCCCAGGCCGTAGGCCAGGTGCACGCGGAGCTGGTGCTTCACCCCTGCGGCGTGGCGGGACGTGAGCGGCGCGCGGCGGGGACCGGCGCGCGYGGTGCCGCCTCCTCCTCCTCCTACCCGTGACGGGCTGCAGCTCCAGCAGCGAGCAGCCCGAGGCGGCGGCCAGCACGCGGTAGCGCGTCACGGCGCAGGCGGCGCCGCGCGCCCGCCGCGTCTTCACCTCCCTGTCGCCCTCCAGGCGGTAGTTGGGYGCCAGCGTCCTCTGCATGGGGTGGGATTCGGGGTGAGGCGGCGGCGCGGGCACTGCTTCGTGCCCACGGCACAGTGCTCACCTTGAAGTGCGCCTGCCCGCCCCGCACTGCCCGCTCCACCACGGGGATGTCCACCAGCCCCTCCGGCGGCTCCGGCTGCCCCACGGCGATGGCCCTGGAGCGGGGAGAACGCCAACGTGGAGCCAACACCCCCTGCATTGCGCTCTCCATGCCCCCCCAGATCAACGCCCCTCCTTACCAGTAAACCTTGTGCACCTGGCGCGTCTGGAAGAGCTGGCGCAGGCGGGCGGCCGCCTCGGCGCCGCGCGCCAGCACCATGGCGCCCGTGGTCTCCTTGTCGAGGCGGTGGCAGAGGCGGAGCGGCGGCGCCGCCGCGCCGCCCAGCATGGCGCCC